CAGCCCAGTCCCCATCTAGGAAGGAAGAAGTACTTAAGAGCATGTTTACTATCAGGAGCGCCTGGGGAACTCAAAAGCCTTGTAAGCTTGCCTCTGTCTGTCCTGGGTGGAGAGGCGGCACAGAAAGGCAGCAGCAGAAAGCAGTGAGCAATATCGGTCTGCTGGCACTCAGCAGACTTTTCACCGGCTGGGGAATTTGCACCTTTTTTCTTTTTCCTAAATTTACACTGGAAAATGTAGACCTCGACCAATTCCTGCCCTTTTGTTGCCTGCCTTCTTTTATCTGTGTTGTTGGAAAAGAAGTATTGTTGCCTCTGAGCCTCGAGAAAGCACTTTTCTTAGCGAGCAACCAGAATGGCCTTGGGGATGTAGCCCAGGCGGGGAAGGGAGGCGGTGGCTTATGCAGGTCCGACGCTGGCAGAGGCTGTGTTCTGTGGCCGCCCTTGATTTTGGATCCCCGGCGCTGAGGGTTGATACTGCAGCAGCACGGGGAAGACGCTGTGCCCATGCAAGCAAGGGCAGGGGGCCCCCCTTGCTCGTTGTCCAGATCTATCCGGTGGGGAGTGCCAAAACTGAGGGGGGGGCGGCACTTATTTAAAAGAGAAAGGAAGAATCCCTCTGTGCCTCACGTTCCCCTCCGCAAAGCGGGTACCGGCAGTTCTGACGCTGCAAGAGCTGTTCCTCATGGGCTGCAGGCACGGTTGAAAGAAGAGGTACAGTCACGCTCCATGCTGGGTGCGGCAGGAGGCTGTGTGTTTCTGCTTGTTCTGGGCTAATGCGTAATTTCTAATCATAGTTTCATACGTTTCTTTACTTTAATTATCACTGGCATCAAAACAGTGATTGATTCTAGAGCCAGGAGTAGCGTCTTACCCGTCAGCATTCCCTTCCAGAAGGTACGTTGTCTCCGAGTCATTCCTGATGCCATATGTGACAGGCAGCCAAGACCCTCCTTAAGGAGGGTTTTTGCTACCGCACAAACCCCTGAGGCTCGGGCAGCTTCCCGGCAGCCCCACGCAACCAGAGCCAACAGGCAGTCGCGCCCCACAGGCTGCTTCGCTCCGGTTACAGCTGCAGGGCCCCCCCAGGCACCCCCTTACGCTGGCAGAGGCACCTCTCGTAGTCCCACAGGAGCAAAGCACGGGGGTGCTGTTGCAAACTCCATTAAGCAAAGATTAAGCAAGGTAACCGGGAGGAAGGCAGCTAGTGCCAACCTGTTCAGGCTCCTGCAGAGGAAAGAAACAACTTTCCAGCGTTAACAGCAGTGGAGCCCGCGGTGCAGAGACGTGGTGGTGAGCTGCAGCTTGCCTGGGAGGGCCTGCTGCAGTGGTGGGGTGGCTTCCCATCTGGTACTTCACCTTTTGGGGACTGACCAGCTGTAATCTGCAAACACTCACCGTGTCACCCGCAGCTGAGGGCGGGCGGGTGTGAAGGCAGCCCTGCTTGCATAGAGAAAATACTCAAGCCTCGATCACAGCTTCACGTTCCTGCGATCGTGCCGGCACCATCTCAGTAGACTTGTTGATGCCACCCCCCCGCCTATGTGCCGTGCTTTGTCCTGTCCCCCCACACCCCCAGCGTTTTACCTGAGACCAAGCTGTAAAGGCAGAGTCCTGGCTTGGGGTCGGACCAGGAGCTGACGCTGAAGGGCGCCGTGTCCGAGCTCCCCAGCCTGCCCGACTTTCTCCAGGTGCTTTTGGTGAAGGGCCCCCAGTTCTGGTGGTGCAGCCCCCTGCGGCCGTGGGCCTGGCGCTGCCAGGGGACGGTGGCAGCTTCTCTCCTGGCTGAGTTTCCGCACGGCAAAGCCATGGCTCTGCCCTCCGTGAGCCAGCGCCGCCTGTGCCGCCCCTCTCCCCGCCAATCTCCCGTCCTTGCAGGCCCTGGTGTAAAATGCCCTTTCTGACCGGTACCGCTCTGTTGTCACAGAATCACATCATGAGAACACCGACTCATGAGCTGGTTTGGGTTTTTAAAATATCTCTATTTTTTTTAGCCTGATGCTCATAGTGATCTGCAGTCTCTTTGCTGCCTTCAAGTCCCTTGTGGTTTCAGTTTTGGTACAAATGTGTTTAGATTTTAGCAAATTAAAGTTGGGGGGGGAGGGGGTACAGAGCATCTGATCAATTTGTATTTATTTATTTTAACATTTTACTAAATAAAACACAATAAAACCTCTTGTCTCCTTAGCCATGTGTACCAGGCGGGGACCGCGGGTCCCAGAGGCCCCGGGGATGGCGCAGTGCCCGCAGAAGGTCCCCAGCCCCGAGAGGGGTTTCCGAGCGTGGCCCTGCGCGGTGGCTGCGGTGCGCTCCGGCTGGAGGCTCCCTTTCTTGGCAGGGAGAGGGAAGGGTGCTGCGTTAGTAGAAACGAATTTTAGCTCTAACAGGGGCTGTGCTCGGTGAAGAAAACTCTCCGCAGGCTCTGACTCTGTGGTTGCCTCCAGCTGGTGCCGCCCGGCAGAGGGCACATGGAGACCAAAACCGAGCTGGGCTTGCTCCAGGTACCTAAAGCCCTGTAGGCACGTTTTGGGCTAAGGGCTGGCTAGGCTGGGAAGGAGTATCTGAAAATGATGGCACACAGTCCTCCTGCTATAGGCACAGCAGTACACCTTCCAAAAAAAACTGCAGAGCCAGCATTTCTGTAGCCATCTAACCATCAAAGAAACGGCCAGAAGAGGCCTGCTCCATCCCGGCACTGCTCCGCCACCACATCTCTAGCAGAGAGCAGGCTAAGCTCCTGTCTAGGTCTGAGCTAAACCTGTGTTGTCGCTTAGTGTGGAAGCAGAGCGGTATCAGCGAGCTTTGGCTGTATTAAACAAAAGCTGTCTGCTAGGGAGTGGTGGGGTGGAGCTGTGCCTGGCTTCACGGTGATCAGCAATGTCTTTCCAGCCCTTTCCCAAATAAAGCCTCAACAAGTTGCTTCTGGCATACCACCCCCGTCCTCCCTCCCCCCGCAGCTGCAAGGCCGGTGGCTCATATGGCCGAAGAGCCGGTTTTTAGTCCCAACAGTCTTGCAAAGCCAAGGCGGGGGGGGTCCTCCTGCCTGCGTTGTGGCCAGAGCTGGGCGCCTGTCCTTGGCGGGCGAGGGGAAGGTCCCACGGGTCACGGCGCAGCGGCCAGCGTGACATGCTGGTCTCAGGAGCGAGCCACAGCACCGCCAGAAGAAGAAACCACATCTCTTCTACTTGGGTGTGATTAAACGCACTACCTGCCTAAGCCGTGAAGCCCCAGGCTCCATTTAAGGGGCGCTGGCTGTGCAAGCAGGCTGCCCCACCACCCAGGCTGCCAGCCCCAGCGGGCTCCATCCCACCGCAGTCGGCAACCGCCAGCTGTTTCAAGGCTGCCACTTGGTGACACAGGCATTTCTTTTGCCTGCTGTTGCTCCTTGCTCCCCCACCCTCCCACTGTGCCAGCCAGAAAGGGAAAAGGCTTCAAACGCGCCAGGCAGAGCAAGCCCAGCGACGCTTTTCCCTAGCTGAGGCTCAGGCTACCCCTGCATTGCTCTCTTCCCGCTGCCTTCCCTCCAGGGGACACGTGCAGGCTCGCAGCAGAAAAAAAAAATAATAACCAGGCAGTTCCAACAAAGATGTGAAAAAGAATAAAAAAGCTTTAATTTAAAAATTAAATTAAAAAGAGAGAATAAGCAAGAGGCGCTTGTGCCCTTTCCATACCCCGCGCTTTGTATGGCTCCTCCTAGCCGCTCCCACCATGGACGGAAATCCTACACCTGCACAGAGCTGGCTCTTGCAGCCCAGAGTAATGCAAAGGAGAGAACAGCAGAGACTGCAGCAGCAACTGGCCTGGACAGCCTCCAGAGCCACCAGCAAAAATCATCCAGGAGGAAGAAAGGATTAAAAAAAAAAAAAAAACCCCGAGACACCCTAATCATTTAATTCTTATGATAAAAGTATTAAATAATTTAAATAGCGTGAGGAAAGCAATGCATCCTCTGTGCTCCAGTGTGTGATAGCGGTGGAACAGTGCCTGGCCAAGCTGCTCCCGGCACGGGGATCCCGCCACAGTGCTCAGCTACGGTCATGTCCAGTGTCAACCACATCCCTGATTGTCGATGGCAATGTCTGCGCTGCCACGAGCTGGGGAGGAGCAGGGTGGTCCCCCGCCAGGAACTTCTCCAAGCACCTGCTGGCCCACGAAGCTGCTGTTTTGCCCGTCGCAATGGCTGCCAGGTGTGGTTCGCAGCCCTGCCCTGCAGGGCACTGCCAGACCCGGGACGGGGCCCGTCAGTGGCATGGCTGCTTCCAGCCAGGAGGCACAGGCCCGTTCTGGGTGCTCACTGCTGGGGAAGGCAGACAGCCCATCCTGCTCTGGGTGAAGCAGTACTGGGCCAGCCCCACTGGAGACTGCATCCATAGGGATGGGGAGTAAAAATTATTTTGCCCTGTTAACCAGCCAGCCTCTGTCTGGGCTTGAACCAGGTCTCCGCAACTCCTGGTACACCCCGGCCCCACCTCCCAGGGTGCTGGGAGGCTTTCTCTGAGCCTGCTCCACAAAGGATGCAAAAGGATGCTCTACGTCCTCGTCTCCCACTCACCAAAGCCCCGGAGGGGTGTGTGGAAGACTGGGACTTGGTACCACAACGCAGAGGCAGAGGAGGGTAAGGTAGAGCTCTCAGGCTTCTCTAGCAGCCAGGCCCCAGGCTGAGGTGAGCTAATGAGAATCCACATCTGCTCAAACAGGGGAGGGAGGAGACCCGTCCCCCTGGCCCCTGGCATGGGGAGGTTCCCCTGTAACACAGGAAGGCTGCTCCTCCGGAAAAACCCTTGGCCATGCCGCAGCAGCTTGACCTGCAGGCACTGCCTGTTCTCGCAGCTGGCATCTTCCATCTTATCTATGGGCATCCCTTTGCTGGGCTGGAGAGGCTGTGCTGCCGGTGCGGTGCCCTCGGGCCAGGATACGGCGGTGGGCCGGGGCAGGAGGGAGGCCCTGCGCCCTCCCCTCTCCAGCGTGCTGCTAGCACCCCGCACCCACTGTCCCCGGGCGTCACAGGCTCCTCTCAGCGGTGAGGTATTTGAGCGCAGCAGCCCCGTACCGCCGCGACAGGTCCTGGTGGAACTCCTCCCGCAGTGTCTGGAGGCAGCCCCGGTACCCTGCGCTCAGGCGAAACTTGGAGATGTCAAAGCTGGGGGCATGGGGCATGTGGATCATGAAGGCGTTGGGCAGGACCAGCAGCTCATACTCCTGGGGGCAGAGCAACAGCCCTTACTGTCAGCATCGGCTTGGTGGTACCAACATGTCACTGCCCAGCCAAGAACCCCCAACACCCAGCGCCTCCATGGTGCCAGGAGCAGCCCCTCACCCACCTGCGCATCCAGCTCCATGATGTGGGACACCTTGTTCCAGCCGAAGCCCACGAACCTCTGGTCGTACTTGGGGCAGTCTCGCCTCACTACAACGTAAGGCTCGAAGTCTGGCTGCCATGCCACACGGTATGGCACGGTGGCCGTCCGCCACTTGGCGTAGTCAGTTGGGGCATGGCCTTTTGGCCACACGTGGTACCTGCGGGAAGAGATGGAAATGAGAGACCAGGCAAAACTGGCAGCTCCCCAGGACAGGCAGAGGACGCAGGGGGTCCTCTAACCTGGCTGCCCCACAGCCCCGAGGCACAAGGGTACAAAACTGGCTTCTGCTGGGTGTGACAGCCCCGCTGGACAGTGGGGCAACTCCAGTCCCTACCTGAAGGTGTAGAGGGAGCCCATGTCCAGCATGGAGAGCAGCTCTGCTTTGGATTTGGGGAAGATCAAACGGTAGTGCAGGGTCTCGAATGCTGGCACGATGAGAGCTGCCTTCCTCTGGGGCAGATCCAGCTGCTGGATGGAGTTCCTATGATGGTAGGAAAGGTGTGAGGTCTCCCTGGCTGTGAGCTGTGGCCACAGCCTCCTTCCTCGGCCCCTCCAGCCTGCCCAGAAGGGTATCAATGGGTTTAGACACTTTGTAGCGGTGCCATGCAGGGGCAGGAGAAACGGGGCAGCCCTCACAGCCATGGCTGCTTCCTTACCCGCTGGTGTCTGACAAAAGCAAGGGCAGGATCCCAAGGTTGAACACAAAGGAAACAGTTTCTGCATGTTGAGAACTGCTGCCCATGGTGCTTCCTGCAATCCCCAGTGCTTGGGGAGCCCAGCAGGCTGAGCAAGAGCCATCTGGAGAAAGCCTTACCTGAGGTAATCGTAGAGGCCATACATAGGCAGGAAGTCAATGTCTGTCAGAAAGACGTATGGCGTCTGCGTGTTGGCCAACGCCACGTTACGCAGGAGGTTGATGGGGTAGAACTGCCCCTCCTTGTAGACAATGTGGTAGGCGACATTGCGACGGGCGCTCAGCACCTCTGAGGCCTGGGCGTAGCGCAGGAACTGCTGAGCCTCTGCGTCCGACATGTACAGCGCCAGGCTGATGGGGCCCGCCCAGTGTTTGCAGATGGCCTCCAACATCTGTAACCTGTGAAGCAGAGGGCACTGCGTGAGCAGGAGACCTGCTCCACGGTGGCTTGGCCAAACCCAGAACCATGTGCCTGCCAGTCAGCCGTGTGCCAGCCGAGCCCAGTTCGGGGGAGAGCAGCCAGAATTGAAGCTCCCAGCTCGGGATGTTCCTCCTCACTGCAAAGTGCTGGTGTGAGGGTGAGGAACCTCTGTTTCAAGATCCCTGGTAGCTCCCAAGCTGTGGAGCCGCCCCACAGGAGTGGAGGTAGAATCTGACCTCCCACCAGCCCCACCAGCAAGTACCTGTCCATGGAGAGCTGGGCCACGAGGGTGACATCGGTGGGGTTGGGAAGGGCCAGGAACTCGTACTGCAGGAAGAACAGGTGGACACGGTGCTGCGTGAGGTGCTGCCGGCGGAAATCGTAGCAGGGATCATCCTCATCCAGCTCCTCCAGTGCCTGCTGCAGCTGCAACGCCGTGAAGGTGAGGGAGAGCAGGAGCCCCACGGAGAGCTGGGGCGGCCGCGTGGGGTCTCTGCCCACCCCATGATCTGGGGTCGAGGGCAGAGTCGCAATCGCCCTCACCTGGTCGCTGGGTGGGCTGGGGAGACTGGCACAGCCGAAGAGCTCCCTGCGCAGCAGGTTCCCGTCGTACTCCAGGAAGGTCAGGTAGAGGTTGCGGAAGAATTCAACGTGCTTGTTCTTCACCCGCAGCTTCTTGGGCGAGTTCCAGTGGATCACCTGAGGGCAGCGGTGTGTCACCCCGCAGAGGGAAAGTCAGCAGCACCCAGCAGTCCCCAAGCCCCCAGACCCCACGCTGACTCCCACAGACGTCCAGCGCATGCGCTGTCCTTCAGGCCCTCCCCAGTCTCAAAGGCAGCAAATGCACCCACCTTGAGATCCGAGACCTCGGTGTAGCACTGCTCCGAGCGGGTGTGATCAGAGAGCTGGACGTTCCAGAAGCAGGGGAGCCGGTATACCAAGGCTGGGTCCTGCTTGATCACTGCGTTAAAGATGTCCTAGGAGAGAGAAAGGTGAGTGCACAGGAGGATGAGGAAGACAGCATGGCCCCGCCGTGCCAGCAGCGCTATGGGAACGCAGCAGGGCCGACCACCCCGGAGGAGGGACCATTACCTGATCAGCCAGCGAGGTGGAGAGCATGCTCATGAGCTCCCGCTCCGCCGTCAGCCGCCACATCTGCTCCCAGCCCAGGCGACGCAGGCGGTCGAGCAGGAGCAGGATCACCCCTGGGTGCCAGGGAAGAGGGCACTGGGTCACCGAGGCAGCACCCAGCCATTACAGAGCTGGAGGACAGCAGCCTGCATGCCTTCGGCCCCTGGGACATGGCACTTTTCTGCGCCCACCCACACAACCCCGGAACACTGTAGCAGCCCCCTCATGCCCACCAGACTCTCCTGCCTCACCTCAGCCTTCCCCAGCCTCCCCGTGCCAAGTACCGCCTCAGCTGGATGCACCATCAGGCTGCAGGGCCCACCCCGGCAGCCCACACTCACCCGTGTTGAAGCCACGTCCCAGGGCTGGCCACGGTTTGTGGTTCTTCCACAGGTTGCCCAAATACCAGTCGCTTTGGTTCTCCACCAGCCCAATCACCTGCTTGTCTGAGGAAACAGAGGGACATGGATGCAGCCCATCTTGCTGTAGGTTCAGAGGGCCCAAGCAAATCCACTGTGCTTGTGCTGTGGCAGACGGGGACTGCCACCCTGAGCCCAGCACCCAGGGCCCTGCCAGGGCCCCAGCAGGTCCCAGGGGCACCCTGTCCTCACCAGAAAACTTCCCGAAGACAGCCCAGAGCTCAGCGATGTCAGTGGCGAAGGTGATGTCGGTGTCCAAGACGATGACCTTGGAGAGGTTGGAGGGCAGTGCCTTGGTAAGCGTCAGCTTCATCAGCCCGTAGATGCCAGAGTAGTGCTTGTTGGGGATCCACGACACCTCCGGCTGCAAGGCGACACGGCCTCAGGGCTGGGCACGGCCATGCCCTTCCCCTGCCTGGGCAGGATGGCTCGGTGTGCCTGGCACCCCGTGCAGAGGGGCACAACAGAGCTGTGCAGCCAGCCGAGCCTGGAGCATCTCCTCCAGCTGCACCACGGGCAGCCACACACCTCTCTCCCCAGGCCCTTCAGGCACTCGCTGCATCTCCTTTGCTCTCACCCTGGCCTGGCTCTTCCTCCAGCCACCAGAACCCCCGCCTGAACCCCAGCGTTTCAGTGCTCAGTGAGGAACCCAGCTCCACCGCAGAGGCAGCGCTACCCCAAGGGGCCTCCCCATCCCTCCAGCACCAGCCCTGTGCCCCCCTTCTCAGCTGGACCAGCAACAGGTCCAGAAAAGGGAGCAGGTGAGCAAGGGACCAGCAGGAAAAGAGTTAATAAACCCCCTCCCGCACGCCCCTCTCTGCTGCTCCCCTCGCCCTCCAAGCACTGGATTGGGACAGGGCAAAGGGGGGGCAAGTGCCTGCCTTCAAGTCATCGGATCTGGTGGGCCACCGAGTCCGTGATGAAGTGAAAGTGGAGGGGGTTTTTCCTGCCGAGGGCAAGCGCAGCAGCACTCAGCACCACAGCAGGAGGAAGAGGACATGGTCCCCATCCCTCCCACCCCTGCCAGGGGACAGACATCAGCTGAGGGGGCAGATGGAGAAAAATCAGCCATCTGGGGGAAACAAATCCCCCTCTCGCCCTCTAAGCAGTGGCACAGAGGGGAGAGAGAGGCCCTAGAGCCCCTCTCCCGCAGCACTGCCCCCCCTGCAGCCTACAGCAGCTCATCTGGGAACCCCAAACCAGCAGGCCTCTGGCACAGCACCTCCCCATTACCTGTGGAAGAGGATGGATTTCACCAGGGTGACCACATCCCGGCTCGCGTTGTGCCCGGCACACACAATCGCAACGTGCAGGAGCTGCCCAGAGACAAACAGCGCCTTTTTGAGACTGAACTTCCCCCCTCACGGGGGCCTGTCAGCTCCTCCCTGGGGCCGTGCTATGGGGACAGACTCCGTAACCCAGCCCTTCCCCTGGGGAAGGAGCCCCAACGAGAGGTGGGAGTCCCCTGGCTTAGAAGCAGGGACCAGGAGTCTGGCTGTCACTTCTCCTGTCTGGCCTCCCTCTCCAGAGAAGCAAGACACCCTCACCCACCAGCTGTAGCCCATTGAGCACCATGGAGAGCCAGGATGAGGCCCCAGCATGGCCAGAGCACGGGGCGAGCAGTGCCAGGCAGGCTGCGCATACATCCATGCTCAGCCAGGGTCCCAGCCTCCCATCCGACATCCCCTATCCACCGTGCCGGTGCCAGCACCCACCTCACACTTGTGCACCGTCCGCTGCTTGGGGCAGGCCGTGCGGTTGCTCCTCTCTGCACCCCTGGGGGGTTCCCCGTCCTCGGCAGAGGCCCCCCACTGCGGGCTGCCATCGCTGCCCTCCGCCTGCACCTGGCTGAGCTGCAGACGGAGCTGCTGGTTCTCCTCCTCCACCCTGCGCACCCTTGAGGCCAGCGCCTCCCGCTCCACGTCCCGGCTCGGCTGCTCGCCCAGGCAGGGCGGCAGCAGGAGGAAGCGGCCATCTGAGGAGGAGACACAGGGCATAAGATGGGCACCGCAAGGCAGAGCTCGGCCGGGAGGGACCGGGTGTGGATGGGTGTGGATGGGGCGGGGTGGGGGCAGAGCCCCAGCTGAGGGGTCCTGGCACATCCCACGTGTGCTCAGCCAACATCACAGCTCTGCTCAGATACACCTGCAGTGACTTGCACAGCCGCAGAGCAACCACCCCAAGGCCTCGGCCTCCCCTGCCCACCCTCTGTTGGGGACTGTCCCTTGATCCGAGGAGGAGGACCCACTCACATTCAAGGCTGCCCACAAACAGGTAGAGCCAGGAGAGGAGGATGGCCAGGGTCACCGTGGCGAGCAGCAGCTTCAGCTTCACGCGCCAGGAGCGCAACATGGTGTGCCGGTGGGACGGGGGTGGCGAGGATCAGGTGGGCAGCCCGAGCCCGGCTGGCCCCGGCATCCTAGAGCCTGCGAGGGGCAGGGGAGCAGAGAGCGGTGTCACCAGCAGCCCTGCAGCCCACACCCAGGTGGTCTGACGTCCCCCAGCAGGATGTCCCCCATCTCCTGCTCCCTCCAGGACACTGCCTGGGTGAGCACAGCGGCGAGACAGATGCCCTTCACCACTCCAGTGACAGCCTCTCCCAGTGTCCTACCACCCTGCTGCGGCCCCACGGCTCTCAGGGGGGACCTCAAACACGTGAGAAGGGAAGGAGTCCTCCAAGTGATTTCACTCTACCTCTGTTCCTTGCTCCTCGCCATCCCACAGGCAAGGGGAAAGAACGAAGAGCTGCCAGGGGAGAAGAGAGGCTGTGCTGGAGAGGTCCTGCCCGAGCCGGGTGGCCGGTCACGGGGCGGTTAATGGAGCCTGCCCTTGAGAAGAAGCGCAGGTCCCTCCCCCACTGCGTCCAGAGGCCGAAGGGGCCAGGACTGCTCTTGAGAGGAGGCCTCAAGGACAGGGTCAGGCTGGGTGGGAGCACAGCCCACGCGGAGCCAGGCGAGGAGCCCGGCTGGGCACGCTGGCTCCTTCCCAGCCCTCCCGCCGACCGGCTCGGGGGAACTCCCGCAGCACCCCATGCTGAGGTCTGCCGTGGGCCAAACGCCTCCCCCTCTGCTCACAGCTACCTGCCCCGACAAAGTTTGGTGGAAAAATCCCAAACGCTTCAGTGAAACTCGCTTCCCGGCACTGCTGGCTCAACGGGGCATGCCGGGGGACCCCCCTCGCCCCACCACGGCAGCTCCAGCCACGCGTGCTGCGCTGCTTTCATTCCTTGGCGGCGGCGAGACGCTCCCCACTGAGCAGAGCACCACGCTCCCCGCCTTGCTCCTGCGCCCAGGCCCAACACGGGGACAGAAAGCCCATCTCCAGAGAGGCCTGCCCCAAGATCCCAAAGAGCCAAGTGTCCAGGGCAGACAAGGAACCCAGAAAGCAAGGGAACACCAACCTCTCCCTGGCAGGCTGGCCTCGCTCCGCACCCCTGCCTGCCTGCCTGCCTGCTGCAGCTCGAGACTGAGCCCCGGCCCTCAGTGCAACATCTGGAGGCTCAACAAAAGCTGCCGTAGGGATGAATGGGGCGGATTAGGGTCCGTTCCCCCTCGCACACACCCCGCTGGAGACCATTGATGTGCAGATGCCCATGGGGCCGCCAGCTTGGGGGCTGAAAGAGGCAGCCCGGGAGGACACCACCCTCAGCAGCCCATGGGGCCAGGCTGCAAATGCAAATGAGGGTGGATGGCAAGCTCGCCAGGAGCAAGGGGTACGCAGCAACAGGCTCAGGCTCTGCAAGGGCTGGGGCACAGCCGCCCCAGCCCGCTGGGGGATGCAGCCGAGCCCCCGTGGCAGCAGGCACGGCGCCTGAGGGCTGCACCCCTTTTCCTGGCAGAGAAGGGGTCCTGCCGTGCACCACAGCTCCCTGCAGGTAGGGCCTGGCATTGCCCTGCTTCTCCGCTCTATAGAGCAGGCCAAGCGCTGGCATGGTGGGGAAGAGGGAGCTGATGCATGGAGCACACCAGGCCCTGGTGCCCCTTCTCCCTGCCACAGCCATGAACCATGCTGGACCTGGCAAGGTCCCTGCACGCTGCTGCCAGCCTGTCCCCCGTCCCACAAGCCAATCTCCACCCCTCCTGCCTGGCCTAAGCATCCCCCAAACTTTGCGTTGAGCTCACAGAAGAAACGGGCGGGAGGTGAGATGAGGGAGGGCAGCGGGCACCGAGCAGCCTGGGAAGCCGCGGGACGGGAAAGGGACTTCAGCACGAACAAAGGAGGGAGAAGGTGGTGGCCCACAGCAGCACCCCTCCTGCGCCTGCTTGCCCCCGCGGCCCCTCTGGGGGGGCTCACTGCAGGGAACGCACCCTGTCCCCAGCCCGCACGTCAGCACGCTACCGGGACGGCGATTTTGGGGCACGGGATGGGACTGGCAGCAGGCCAGTTGCCAAGGACCCTCCCGGAGGCACCCAAGGACTCCATCCATCCATCCATCCATCCATCCCCCCCGTGGCCGTCCCCTCTCCCCCTCCTCTCCCGGCAGGAGGCGAGCTCCTTACCTGCCGTCCCCCCCCCCCCGGGGCCCTTTTCGACCTGACACTCCCCCCGCTCCCAGCCCGAGCTCCCCCCGCAGGCCCCGCGCCCGCCCCCCTCTCGGAGGAGGAAAGAACAAACAAAACAAGAGATTAAATTCGCTTTCGACTCAAGAGCCCCCAGCGCCAGGGGCACGGAGTTGCCCGAAGTAAGTCAGGAGGAACCCGCCCTCCCTCCAGCCCCCTTCCCGCTCCCAGGCCTCGAATATCCCTCTTTTGCTGAGATAAGGGGAGCATCGGTGTTAGTTACCCCCTACCCAGCACCTGCCTCCTCCTTTCCCGGGGCAGGTGCAGGAGCATTTGTCCACACGGAGATACTCGGGGGGGCTCTGGAAGGCAGCAGAGCCCACCCCACCTTCCCTTGGCTGGCAGAGAGGGGCTGCACGGCCAGCCCGGGGTGCAAGAACGGCAAGGATGGGGTGCAGCCCTCGCTACCCGGAGAGCAGAGACACCAGCTGCCGTCGGAGCACTCGCCCCTCACCTGGACAGGGTGCAAACGCCACTGTAGGTTTGAAAAGGAAAGAAGTGCTGCCCCCCGATTGCCCGGGCTTGCTCCAGCCCCACCAGCCCAGGAGAGCGGGGCTCCCCAAAATGCGCAGCGTCCCCCAGACCCGCCCCGCGCACGAGGAGCGAGCAGGATGGCAGCAGGAGGAGCGGGAGGCCAGGGCTGGGAATGCTGACTATGCGGGGACGGGCTCTACCTGCGGCTCACCCTGCACCAGGCCCCGCAGCTGGGGAAATGCGGCCAGCTGCTGCCGGGGCCGGGGCAGGAGCCCCTGCCCTCCCGCCTGCCTTGGCCTTGGATGGAGCCTCGGGAGGGTGCCTGGAGAAGGCAGGGTGTGGTGGGAGGAGGCCGCCACCGGCAGCAGGGATTAGGATGCAAACTGCCTGCATAGCAATTTAGATGAAACGTAAATTGCCCCCCACCCCATAACCCACGGGCGAGCTGCGGCAGCAAGCCCCGGCCTGCCTGGCAAAGGCAGAGCAGCGCCTGCAAAGTCAGCCCTCCAGCCCCAGGGCAGGGGCAGGCTGGGTCTCCACCCAGGCAGCACTGAAATCGCTGCCCCGGGAGACGCGTTTGCCTCCCGCTCAGGCAGCTCTTGCTTGCCCTTGCAGAGCCCCGTTACAACAAGCAGTCGCCCCTCCACAGCGGCTCCCCAGAGCAGGAGCCCTCCCTTTGCTCCCCCGCCTGGCCCAGGGGCACATGGAGCTCAGCCCCCGGGACTGTCCTGTCCCAAACCATGGTACAAGTCCCAAACCTGTCCCAAATCATGTAACAAGTGCTCCAGCTGATGCATCGGAGGCAGCGGCTTACCCGTGCTCCTGGGGGAAGTCCAGACCTCCCGCAGCCCCCTGCCAACAGCACTGCTCTGGGGGAGGAAACCGCCTCCTGCTCCGGCTGACCACCGCCGCCTCTCCGCACGCCTTTCCTGGCCTCCCTATCTGGGCTTGCTCCCGCGAGCGAGGGCCCAGCAGCAGGCCCAGTGCAGTGAGACCCAGCCAGGTCCTCACCAGCCAGGGCAGGAGCAGGTAGGCTGCTGGGGAGCACAGGCAAGGCGGAGGCATTTTAGGATGTTTACGGTGGTGGAGAGGAGACGGCAAGCAGGAAGGCAGCTACACAGCCTCTCCTCCTCCATGAAATGCTAAAGGCACAGCAAGTGGAGGGCAAGGCTCGAAGGGGCTCCCAGGCAAGGGGCACAGTGGGTACCCGCAGCCGTGTCATGGCATGCAAGCGTCCTGGCTCTACCCATCCCTGCAGCCACAGCACTCGGCCTCTCCGCCCTCCCTCCTCGGTCTCCTTGCTCACGCCAGACAAGTGCAGCCAGCAGTAAGATGAGAGGTTTCCCAATACTGCAGGTTTGCGACCCAGTGCGAGGGTGCGGGGCAGAAGTGCTGTTCGCAGCAGGTTATCCTCCCTCCCCCACGTTCTCCCGGGGAGCAGGGCAGCTCCTGCTTCCAAAGGGATCAGGCACATGGCAAACAGGACAGAAAGAGGCACCCGGGTCCCCTCTCTCGCTGGGAGAGGCTGATGGCAGACACTGGGGAAGGGGCAGGCAGGACCCTGGTCTTGCCTCGTGCCTGGACACCCCCGCCTCCAGTGCCAACAGGGCGATAGCCAGGGGACAGGGAGCGTCAAGCCAGCAGAGCCGGGCAGCTGCACAAACACCGGGTGCACACTCACACCAACCTCTGAGGCGTGGGCAGGAGCCCAAGGCTGGCTGCCCGCCAGCCACCCCTCCGTGCACAAGCAGCCTTTGCTCCCAGGACAGTGCACCCACCCTGCTTGCCCCAGGCTCTCCCCCAGAGCTGCCCATGTGCTGGCACCCTGCTCCTTCAAAATCCCCTCTTTTTGTAGGAGCGTGGCTCAGCCCCACTGGCCTTCGCTCTCCCTGGCTCGGTGACTATCAGGTGAGCAGTTAATGTTTAGGGAGAGCTGGCGGTAGGAGCTTTCCCATCACATCAGCATGTTTTCCCCAGTCCCACAAGCACAGAGGGGAGCAGCCCTGTTTTCCCACAGCACTGCAGCTGGCAGCAAGGCCCATGGCAGGGTGGGCATCTTAGCCTGTTATCTCTCCTAGAGCTAATGTGCACTTGCAGAGGGGATGCTGAGGCACAGCAAGACTGTCTGCAGCCCACAGGACAGCAGCCCTGAGGGGCACAGGGACAGCCCCAGGCTTGCTGTCCCCCTACTGTGTCCCCCCAGGCATTACAAGTGAAGAGGTGGCCTGGCTGTTCCCACTAAAGAGCTGCAGGGCAGCCAGGAGAGGAGTGATTTTGTGGAGCCACGCTGTAGGCGCATCTTACCTAGCCGTAGGTGACAGGAACTGCAAATCCTTCTCCCAGGTCTCATTTTTGGTGCTGGGAGAGCGGCAACAGTTTAGCTGACCTGCTTAGACTGCCTTAGCAGGAGCACAACACAGCAACTTTCCGGGCTCGCAGGAGGTGAGAAAGGGCCCGACAGCCACAGTGAGAGCTGCGCAGCAAGACTGGCAACTGAGAAAAGGCACCACACTTTGAAGAGAGGCAACTGGGGACCATCTCTTCTGCTCTTACAAAGAGATAGGAGGGGACAGGCTGGTTCCTCATTCAGCAGGTCACCTTTGAAGCACGTACCGCAGCACCCATCTGACAAAGTGCCTTACGATTCGGGGTCACCTCCCTGCCCCGCTCCCCATGGCTGAGATGCTGCCGCTTGAGGGGGGCTGCGCCAGCCGGTGGCTACCACACAGGCAGCACAGAGTGGGGCAGCTGCAGGAATTTACAGAGGCGGAATGGAATTCGGCCTGGAGAGCAGGATTAAAACCCCATGCTCCGGATTACCACGTCGTCCCTCCCTCCCTACTCTTATGATAAGCAAAACTTAAGCGAGAATTTCACCTTCTTATTTCCCTGGAAAGAACAACCCGCGGCAAAACAGCCACCATATTCTAGAGGTGGGATGAGGCAGCAGCCACAGAGTTGGATACCAGCACGTGAGCTGTAAAAGAAGAAAGTGTCCCCATCTCCCCACTGCCCCCAACATCACCAAGCTGCAGAGAAAATCCCAGAAAGGTGAAGATCTCCCTGGGACAGCAGCCAGCTGTGCCTCAGTTATGGCTCATTCTCGCGCATCAAGCTCTCCTCAGGCCCGTAATATTATCACCACACACAATTCTGCTGCTCTAAGAGTTCAGCTTTTTATTCTGCAAAGGTCACACTGAAAAGCCATCTTCTCTTCTCTGACAGCAGCATAGCACTTGGGGAGGAGCAGCTAACAGTCTCTGAAGGGTGTTAGTGGAAGCTCCAAGCTTGGCTGAAGCAGAGACTTTCGTCACCAGACCGTTTCCTTGTTTCCAGAGGAAACAAGCAAGTTCAGACTGGGTCTGACACGGGAACACGCCTCGCTGCTTACCTCTCCATGTCTGAAACCCCAGGAATGCATCAGGGACCAACCCCTCTTGGCAGGGACTCCGATCATGAGGCCCTGCTAGACACAGTCCGCTTTTGCAGAGCGGCACTGCAGCCAGTCTCCCTGTCCACAACCGGGCACTGGATTCAGCTGCCCGGCAGAGCCCCAGCTGGAGAGAGGGCTGTGCAGGGCACATGCGGGGAGTCCGGTGCCATGGCACAGCGTGCAAGCGTTGCGTAGGAGTCTACCAGACATCCCACAACGCTTATAAATTGGGCAGCTGCATTTTGCCGGCAAGGCAAGAGGGGGCCACCCAGCTAGCAACACAGTCCCTAAATGCTCTCACTCCTGTTGGGCCCAAGAAGAAGCTGGAAGAATCCAGCTGGCAATAGCCTTCAACCACGTCTGTGGGGACACCAGGGCAGCAGAAAGCAGGGTGCTGGCTTGCACTCCTCTGCATGTGCTGCATTTGTCCCTTGTTGCAACAGGGGACCAGCAAGATAGACCCTGGAAGCTTGTGTGTGAGCAGAGCTGCAGCACACCAGACATGCTGCCCAGGACACCCACCCAGACATGCCAACACCACCCGCTGGGTCTCACACCGGGCGAGAAGTAAGGATCACCTCTCAGGGACCAAGTCAATCCCTGCCAGCAGGAAGCCCCTCACCCAAGGGTTGTCCAACCCTCCAGCATGGCTCTGGAGAAGACCACCTTCCCCCAGCGCTCAGCCAGCCCTGGGCCCACAGTGCCAGGCTCAGGGCAAGGGAGCACACCGCATGTCCATGCTGGCCACGGTTTTCCCACTGAGCCCGCTTCCTGCACAGCCTGGTGGGGTACACCAGCCCCGCTCCAACCTGGCACCTGGAGGTGACCCCAGCGCCTCCTCCCTTTGTGAGACCCTGCCCATGTGCTGCTGAGACCCTCAACATGCTCACGGAGGAGATACCTGTTCAACACACTGCTTCCAGCTTTTCCTCCCTGGACTACAAGTTGTTTGATGCCAGGAGGATACTCGGCTGGTGAAGTATCAACACTGACTGGCCACCTTCTGGGCCTGATGGAGCATAAGCCTGACGCAGGACAGCTGCTCTGACCGTAACACAGAAGCTACAGGGTCCTGGATCAAATCTCTTCCACATCAAATCTCTTCCCTGACCAGCACAGCTAGGCACAGGAGGAACAAGCCTGGGCTCTGTGCAGGAGCACTACAAGGGGCAGGAGGACCCCACTTGCTTCTTGAAACAGAAGAGGAGCAGCATTTGGGCTGATCTCCAGCTCCCTTCCCTCTGCCAGGATTAGGTTTCTAATATCTGCATTTTTGCTGACATCTGTGCTGCAGCTAATGGCCAGCTCTGAATCCATTAGGTTCACCGTGTCCCGCCCTCCGGATGTGCTCCGGGCATCAATACCTGTTGACCCCTGCCATTTCCTGATACTTCCACTGCCGCGGGCTAGAGGCAGACGGTGGTTCCTGGGGTCAGAGCTGAGCAGGGTCAGCAGCCGGGAGCTCCCGCTTCTGCCCAAGCCAGTCTGCAGCAAGCCCTCTGCCAGCTCCAGCTCTGCCATCAGCACAGCTGGGGCACCCAGCAGGCATCACGCCCCATACAGCAAAGGGGTGGGAATTTCACCCTGTGAACTACTGATGTCTTAAGTTTCCAGCTAGCAGTGCTCATGGGTAGGGACTGACAGGAGATTCCTTCCCACCCCAAACCTCCCTGCTCCCTTGAAACCCTTCAACAACCTGCACCAGCAGCTGCTCCCTGGTGGGACAAGGGAGACCATATCCCAGCACATCTGACCAGACCTAACAAGCTTGTGGAGTCTGCACCATGTCATACAAAATTAATCAGGTTAATTACAGCAAAAAAAGGAGGCAAAGGGACTCCAACAACCCCAGACCGGCACTCTACCTGGAAAAGTCCACAAGAGGCACAGCACCATCTTCCCCGCCACCTCTGGTAAGGTGCCAGGGGCACGGATCTGAGCCAGACCCCCAGGTACCTGCCGTGCATTGTCACCGGCAGAGCTGGCTAAGTGTTTTCGGCTGAATAGTTATTGATTGAAAACTGCAGTTTCCAGACAGCTCAGAGCTATTTGCTACTTCACGACAAGTTTTGGACAAGAACAAAATGCTTTGTTTTCCCAGAAAAAAAAGTCTCGTTTTGCATTGTTTTGTTTGAAATTGAGCCGCGTTACATTTAAAAGAAAAGATAAAGGGTCTCTCAAACTCGGCTGTGTTGTGTTCTTTTCCTCCAGCTTTTCATTTTGGGCACTAAATCAAGCAATTAATTATTTGTTCAGCTCTGCTCTCCAGACAAGCTGCGAGCATCACGAGCCAAAGGGCCGAAGCAGTTCTGCCCAAGCAGCAGAGCTGAGGAGAGCGTTGGTGTTTTCTGTGCTGCAGGCTCCTTCTAGACCTCAGCTGGAGCTCCCTCGAGGCCAGCAAGCACTCTCCTGGGGGAAGGAGAGCAGGGCCCTGTGTGAGGGATGGCAGGTGCCCCACCGAAAAGGCATCTACTTGCCCTAGTGGGCAGCGGTTCAGGATACACAACCAAGAGGTCACAGCCACTGCTTGAAGGACATGCTAGGAGCAGGGCTTCCCAAGCAAATTGCCCTCTACAGTGCAGGCATATCACACCAA